CAAAATAATAATATAACAATAATTTCATAAAATTTCAATAGAATTAACACGTACTCAGGATAAATGCGTTAAAAAGTAAGTGTTTTAAGTGGAAACATCAGTACTAATTGTGTATACACTTGTTTGCAGATGAAACTACTAGAATCTCTCCAAGTGCATCAACCAATTTAAAGTTGAAGTCACATAAGAAAAAGGTCACTTTTAGTGGTAAATAGTTAATAAAATAAAGTAATGTTATAATATCACTAATTTTGTTACTTTCCACAGATGTGCTCACTTTTATAGACGACGAACCAATGGAGGATCCTGATTTATGTATGTATTTTAGAATAAAGACTTATATTACATTAAATATACTCTATAATAATGATTTATTTTTGTTCACATGAGTAGCCGAAAGTTCCTCGGATGAAGGTAAAATTGTTTTGCTAAAGTGAATAAATATTTAATCTAATATATATATTTTTCAGATTAACTTATGTAAAGCAAGAAGAACATCAACTCATACTATATAACATAAAAATGTAAAGGACTAACATTTTAGAATCAAGAAAATTATAGTTTTTAGATTTTTATAAATATTAATTAGGTTAAGGATTATTTATTTTATATTTTTTATGTTCTATTATTAATTTACATAGTTGTTTTAATAAAACCAATTATAAAACAAGTTTGTGTATATTCCCAGAAATTTTCTTAGATTATCCTTGTTTCGTTAACTAAAGTAAATGTAAATATAAATTTATAAATTACATAAAAAAATATATGAAGTTTTAATATGAACTTTAATAATGATTCATGAATGGAGCAGAAAGATATAACAAAGAAAGGTGGATAGCCAAGAATTGTCATAAAATCTCAAGGTGTACGTTTGTGGGGGATGTTATGTCGAGTTCGATTTGAGGTTTAAACTGCAAAATGCAAAGTTAGGGGGTTCCTGGTATTTGAGTTTATGGCTGTTGACGAGGTGCGGCGTTGGCGTCAGGGTAGCTCGAAGGGGTGGTGGTTTGACATGGGTAGCCAGAGGGATCGTAGGGGTAGGTGCAGGGGACACGCGCGGATGCCGTAAACGATGGGTGGAATGGATGTGGGGTGCAGGGGGGATGATGAGGTGGGGGCGTTTGGTGGCGGCCAAAAAGGGTGGCTTGAAGCCCCACCAGTCCCAAGGGATGGCACTAGTCTGTAATTAAACTCCCTGTCTGGTATTGCGAGAGCCCGCCGGCTCCGACTTCTTCCCCGTCCGTATCCTCACGACTCACCGAAACGAGAGCGAGGATAATGTTATATAACTCATAGATGGAGAGATAGAGAAGGAGAGAGAAATTGATCACTGGTTATATGTGTTGGATATAGACTTTAAGCGGATAGGATTATGGATTTATTATTACCTGATTTTATTTCTTAGACGCGTATCGTTGCCGAATTTCGTACCCTTCTGCAACCCCTGCTAACTTTCCATGGTTTTCGTGAACCAAGCATCCGGATTGAAGCAACTTAAACTATACGTATACATATTACATAATGCAACTCCTGCGGCATGGAAAAAAAAAATGTGTAATACAGCGCGCAAAAAGAAAGTTAATTAATGCACGTTCAAACTACAAGGAGACACAATTTTTGTTTAACTATATTCTAATGGAAAATAGATCCTCTTTAGTAATAATTAATTAATTAAACGAGAGTTTGCATCTCTTTAAAATTCAAATAATAATTTTTATATTAAATTAATACAAGAGTATTACCATTACGTAATTACGTATTAATACAATATCATTACAATGAAGTAATATAATGCATTTATTAATAAGCTATAGCTCTTTTTTCTTTCGGGATTAATATTAATACCCGAGTATTGTAATTACGCATTAATACCCGGCGCATCCACGGAAATCTACCGGTATAAAACAAAATATATTTTAAAATGTTTTTTTTTTCATCATTCGCCGAAATAATTCGTTTTAAATAAATTTCTATTATATTCAACTTTTCATGAATTCTATTTCAGGTTTTTTTTTTTAAGATTTTCAATTATATGATTTTAATACTAAAATTTATAAAATAATAAACATAATTTATTAGCCAGAAATTCAGCAATAATACAACAAAAAAATAGAAAGAAAAAACAACTTAATAAAATAGAAATTTTGGAAAGAAAAAAACCAATAAATACCAAAATTTTCAATATAACAATAGCAAGGTAACAAAACCAATGAGACTTAGAAAGAAATTTAAGGGAAAGGGAACTGTTTTTTATGACGGGCATTGGAATTGAGGTTGATTTTTGGATTGAGAAGGATTCCTAGGTATTTTACAGATGGTGATGGGTATATGGGAAGGTTCCCAAAAGAAATACGGGGTGACAATAGGGTAATACGATGATAGCTAATAAGGAATTTTAGAAAGGTTTATTTTCAGACGCCACAAGGTGAACTAGGATAAAGACCAAACAAGATAGAAACTTTTTATTCAATTATATCAAAATAGAAAATAAATTAAATATGTTATTATGCAAACTTTTAATATATATATTTCTAAGTAGTTTAATTATTTTGTTAATATAATTTATTAATCTAAATAACAATTTTGTGTTTAATCACAAAGAGATTTTAATTAATACCAGAGCATAACTAGTTTTATAGAAACTTTAATTAATTACAACAATAAAACCATTCAATAAAATTTATTTTTTTCATAGAATTAGTTTCATTAAAATAAAAGAATAATCCAAATATATTCAAATTTTTCTTTGATTTTATTTTCATTAATAAATCAATAAATTTCTCAATATTTTACATTTAAAATGTACATATTTATATTTTGAATTAAGCAGTTATAATAAAGCAACGTAATAATAAATTTTATTTGAAAATTATCAAAATGTTATGACTTTATCAAAACTGCAAATTTTGATTTGTAATTGATTTTATTGAAGAAAAAAAAAGATTTTATTGAAATCTATACCTTGTTGAGGAGAGGATCAAAAATAAAAGTAGAAAATAAAGGAGCCTTAGGATGTAAGAAGTTGTTCCCGATTGATTTCGGTGCGTTCGTGCGGGGGTGGATGTGAACGTATCACGGACTGGTCGTGTGTTTAGAAATACAATGTGTGATATCAGATACGGCCGGCCTCGTGACCAGAATCAACTGTACAATAGTTCCATCGATCTATCCAACACACAGACACACAAAATACGAACGTTTTCGGTACGTGTGAGCCGTGCCGTGTACAACACACACATACGTTCACACAAATGTATAAAATGGATGCGGGACCAGAGGTGGATGTGGACAAGGACAGATAGATATGGGCAAATAGGGATGGAGATAGGTAGATGGATGGAGAGGAAACGAGGCCAGACAATTCGTTCGCAAAACCGCCATTCACAATTGTAAATGAACTGCCAATGTTCAAATTAACTTGAACGCTTCACCTCACCAATTGCGACCGCTTCACAAAAGTCTACTTTTACTGCTATTTTTCGTTGCGGAATTCACGAGACTGTATATATCTATGTGCATACATTCCATCAACTTTTCATCCATCTTTTTCTCTATCCTCCTAGTTTTTATCCCTTTTTCGCACCCAATTATTTCTTTTTTTTGTTTCCTCGAGCATTGTTTGTTTTTTGTTACTTTTCGCTTCCCTTCCGCTTCCAGCGTAATTGCGATTGAAATATATAATTTCCCGAGCGCCCGTGTTGTATAACACTCTGTTACGCGTAAGCGAAGTCGCTCAAATATTGTTATCCGTCGGCACCAAACTGAAGCATCTACAAACAATTATAAGAACTTTGCATGATTTCAATTTGAAAAAAAAAACACAAATGCATCAATTAGAAGTAAAAGTGTAAACCAATCAATTGTAGATTAACAAGAGATGTAAATGTGTATAAAAATATTAGAGGTGATCCAATTTGCGAATCTACTGCCGTGCCTTGACATTTACCTCGCACTTACGGCTAGGTAGAATTTACTAAGTACTCTTTCTCTTTTCATATTTTCGTTTTGTTTATATCGTTGATGGATTAAATAAATGGTAAAAATATTATGCTAATAACTCACAGCAGTTTGTCTGTCCAGGGACACGGAAAATCACTTTAAACGTAGCTACCTTGTATTTCCCTGCCTTGTGTGAACTTATACAGTTGTTGATATTTCTTCGCTTTGTGTTCTTTATTTTCGTTTAATTGCAGAGCGATGAATATATTTGTGTAGAGAGTAATAGGTTTTCGTTTATTGTTGTATAAACGGCCTATAAAATTTGAACGTTCATAGATGCATACCATGGAGTGTGTGTGCATCGGTATAGGTGGCATATGTATTATATTTTTTTTGGTATGGGCTTGTATCTATCCATCGAGGAGATGAGTTCTTCTTGTTTTGTGAGCCGAGCGCGCAGTGGCCACTCCCAGCAGTCCCCCTCTTCAAAAGCAGAGCCACTGTCTATGGATGGCACGGCATCTTCGTCACACCTATCTACCTGGATTCGAAATGTTGGCTAAATATTGTCATTATGCTTGCGTACAATGGATATGTATTCATTTGTCTTGCAGGCCAAGGAATGACACGGGAGGCGCACGCCTTCGGCCATCTTTGATTGCGCCGAATTCGCAAAAGGGATTGTTTAAATGCGGCTTTCGAGCTAATTAGTATGTTCCATTCGAATGGGATTCCTCTTCTGCGCCTTTCCTTTTTCAACTCGAACACCCCCCACCATCGGCTACCCTTGTGAACAAAAGTCCCTGCGAAGGGATAGGCCCTTGCGCGGGGCGAGACGGCCGACGGGATTCCGCTGCGAAAATCGGCAGATATGGGGTTGAAACCCTTAACTCGTGACAACATGGCTGGGCGGGGTTTTCACCGTTTCCGGAAGGTTGCCGCAAGTTGCTATTGGTAGGCGCGCACCCCGCCTCCAGCCTGTTGGCAAATATTGGACCAACAAATACACTCTGTTTGTAGCATGTTTAGAGATGCTCACTAGAGTCTTAGCAGTTAGTTACCTTTCGTTCGTTTAATATGATTGATCGCTCAGCGACACTACCTACCAAAGCCGTACACTGAAATCAGATACATTTTGCCAGTTGCGGTGTCGGGTGTTCCACTAGTGTTTTAAGTGACATAAGCATCCTTTATTTTTGTTGCACCTTTTGTTGAGTTCGGGATTTGGAAGCAGAAGGACGTGGAGATGTGCAGCAACGAGACGCCGACCACCTCGACGCCCAGGCTCCCGATGCCCTTCAACCTGGATAACGGTCCCAGGGCCCTGCTTCCCATTGATCAATATCGCTTACAATTATATCAGTATGCAGTCGCGGAGAGATTGCGTTATCCTCTTCTGAACCCATTCCCAACACCTCTTCCGTGTTATCCGTTGTTCCCGCGCGTGCTACAGCCTGAAGAACCGAAGCCACAGCACAGCTACATCGGCCTCATAGCCATGGCCATACTAAGCGCTCCCGAAGGCAAGCTCGTCCTCTCCGACATCTACCAGCACATCCTGGATCATTATCCGTACTTCAGAACAAGAGGTCCGGGCTGGAGGAACTCGATCAGGCACAACCTCTCTCTGAACGATTGCTTTATCAAAGCTGGAAGAAGCGCCAACGGCAAAGGCCATTACTGGGCCATCCACCCAGCCAACGTGGATGATTTTCGGAAGGGCGACTTCAGACGCAGGAAAGCCCAGAGGAAGGTTCGCAAGCACATGGGGTTAGCCGTCGACGAGGATGGCGCTGATTCCCCAAGTCCTCCGCCGCTTTCAGTGAGTCCTTCATCGGTGGTTCCCGGTCCTTCGACGGCAGTTTTCCCGGCTCCAAACCGTGGTCCGTCGCGTAAACGCCAGTTCGATGTTGCATCTCTTCTCGCGCCGGATTCCGGCGAAGACACCGCCGAAGAAGACATCGACGTCGTCTCCAGTGACCAGCAGGAGCAGCAGACCACCAGACCTTGGCCTATCTTCCCCATCGTCAACTACTACCAGGCCCTTCTTCAGGCGCGACCAAATCCGCAGAACGAACCGTCGACCAACGCCAGCGAAGACTCTTAAATTTCACATTCCAGAAGATAATGAAAAAAATAATAATTATTAAAAATTAAACTAGTGAGGCAAGTGAACTGTGTAATCGATACCTCTTTCTGTAATCTCAATCATTTAAATTTAACAAAATTATGTAAGACACTGCTAGTGCAATTCCACCAAAACCGATACAAAGCTGAGGAAAATCTATTTTAGAATCTCCAATGTGTAGCGAATCCGGACCCCCTACGAGAAAAATGAATCGACATCCACGTTTATCTCAAAATATGTAAATACTCTCAAATCTCCTATATATAAATATATATAAAGTAAATTAAATATTTAAACTTGTGTATGTATAAAATGTATATCTCTATATTACTTAAATATATGTAAATATTACGTAATTAACGTATATCGTGTGCAGTTTCCTTTGAATTCGCCACCACCCAGCGTTAAAATTGCGGAGTCCTTCGCGTTCCGGATTAGTTCCGAGTAGTTGGCGGAAAGTTAGAAACTTTTAGCTTGCCGTCGCATCGCGCAAAGTGGAAAATTGATCATTTCGCAACCCAAAACTTTACATTCAACACTCTCATTCTGTTTCACTTTAAATTTAAAGATGAAAAACTTATTTAATAATTACAAAGAATACATAAAATCGAAATATATTTATAGTTAATAAAATCAAAACAAAATGTATGAATTCAGAAATTTATTGAAAACGATAGTAACTTAGTAATACCAAGTTACTATCATTCAGCAAAATTAGTTACAAAATGTATTGAATAAAATATTATTTATTTCCTTATAAAAATCACACTACAATAATAAATTCTTATAGATTTAGAATATTCTCCAAAAAAATCTCTTTTTAAACTGTGATTTATTAGATTAATACTGTTTGAGATTTGTTGTTTTATTTAATTAACCAAAGAAAAGAAACAAAATTTATTTGATTAAAAAAAATATAAAAAAATGTATTTATTTTAAGTTATTTGTTTTTATATATATTTATAATATAGATATTTTAACTGTAAATAAAAAAGTAAAATAAATAAAAAAGTATATTTAATTTATAACTAATTCCTGAAAAATAAATCAAATTTTTGGGAAAGAAATAATTGAATTATTTTGTTGTTTAATTCTGATGGTATTCGTAGAATTAAATAAAAATTATTGTTGTATATATTTTTTTTTAGTTAACTTATTTAATTTAATTACTTCTAAACTTGGATAATTTTTTACATTATTTATTAATATTTCATTAATTTTAAGTGGATAATAAAATAAAATATTATTTATATCTTTGTTATAATTATATTAATTACAATAAATATTTGGAACAAATAATTCCAATACCAATTAAATATAATTATTTTCCCTCATTTAGATTTAATTTACTTATCATGACGGCAAAAGAAGGCAATACATTTTCAACTTCAATTTGTTATTAGCGGTAGATAAAAACACTGAAATATTACGTAACAAACATATATCAAAGATTTATAAGATTCATTAATCATTGTGTTTATGGATTATTCAAAATGTTTGGATCTACGAAAATGTAAGAAATATTATGATGATATTAAAGGATGAAATCTTTCAACAATTCCCTTTCTTTAACATGTTTGAATGAATATTAGTTTTCACCTGCCAGCTAATAAAAATAGTACTGATTATCCCTTTGTAAATGAGCTTAAGTATTTACACTTCCTTTAGGGACGTTTGTTGTGTGTGTTTGACTTTAATCTGTGCTTCGGCAAATTCGCCGAAGGCCATTATCATTGGAAAGTGGAAATATGTGGATGTTGCCGGAACAAAGATCGTGTTTTGGTCGGGATTAGGCGAAGACACAATGCGACTTCCGTGCCTCGGATTTTTAACTTCTCTGACAAGCCTCCATCTCCGTTCCGCAACAACTAAAGTTCCCTCTTCCTTTCGACATTGTCCTCTTTCCTCGTCTGAAAAGGTACGATATTTTCTTTTCAACGTAAATGCCCTTAAAACCGCGATAATCCCTCAGTGCATTCAATGGGACTATGTCAAGTAGATTAGTTGGGACAATACAGTACTTGTCCATAAAATACCCACAATATTTAGGGTACCTCCTGAGGGATAAGAGTGCTCCTCGTTAAAGATTCCACACTTCGGCCCTTGATCGAATTAACTCAATGGATGGGACGGGACGGTACACACACATACTCTGGCACGGCCCACATCCAGGACCAATTTAAATGAAGCAATGATGAGAGGAGTATAGGTGCAGCTTTAGCCATTGTGAATTAGAGGGGAACCTTTTGTAGTACAACTAATTCACTTAAGCTTCGCCAACATGAATTTACACCTTTATAGCTAATATATTAAATAATTTTCATTTCTATATACATATTAAACTTGTAAAGTAAAGTTTAAAGATCAATTAATTTTTTATGACAAAAAATAAAAATTACAGATCAAAATATTTGTTATCATTGATATCAATTAATTTTCTAAATAAGCTTAGCTGTAAGTAAATTAATGTAAAGTAAAATTTGTAGTATACATAAAAAAATACTGCAGTTTTTCTGCTACTTTTGTTAACATTTTAATACTAAATAAAGTAAATTTTCTACGATAATTTCTATACTGCCATATATGAATTTGTTGAAAAAATAAATAAATTGAAGGACAGTCAATTCCGCTTAATCGAGACAGCCACGGACAAAATCCTACTTCGGATAATAGGGACACTCGTATATTTGTCCGCATTAAGACAAATATACTAGTGCCAATGTGTCCCGATTAATCGGAATAGACTGTATTTCTTTATAGCATTTAAGTAATAAAAAATTGGTCTATTAATTGTACAAAGATTGAATTATTGAAGATAAAAGGAGAGTGTCAAAAAAAAGAAGTGTACGTCATAATTGGCGAGTTCGAGAGATGTGCCCTTTGGTGACGCACATTTCGAGTATTATTGAATTATTTTTGTCCTAAACGTTTAATAACGCGGCGGCAGCTTTCATCCCTGTTGAAACTCAACACCACCAGCAGCAGGCAGAGGGGAGGGAAATACAATAATATAAACGGAATAAAAAAAGAGAGGGGTGAAAAGGAACGAAACGAAGAATAAAATAATCAACAATATTGACTTATATTGACGTCACTTTCTTTCTCCTTCTCTGTTTTAAGTGAGTTTGTTTTAAAGGTAAGTGTTGCGGCGTTAAGGATAATTAATGAGTTATAAGGTTATCATGTGTTATGTAGCCGACGCGGCCTGATGCTTTTATAGTTTTAAAGTGCTAGAAGATTTATAATTTGAAGCCGCTACTCGTCTGTATTTTAGACCCGCCGATGACCTATCAAAAAAAAAACGAAAAGGGATTGAAGATGATGATGACGAGGATGAAGAAGAACCGATCTAGAGGAGGAGGATATTGAGAGCCGACAGACAGAAGGAGTGTGTGGAAGACCCATCCAATGTGATACCCAACCCATCGCGGCAGATCGATATCGGTGACCCTCTTCGCCACAACAAACAGAAACACGAAAACAATAAGGGCGAAACTGCAAATTCATATATATATATATGAAATCGTGCGCTTCAAAGGAACGATTCGTTCCCATTGTTTTCGCACAAAGAACGTAGCTTTTGTTCCATTTAAAGTACGGTCGGTTAAGTGGCTTAATGAATTCACCACGAGATCCCATAAACATTCATTATCATTTCTCGGATACCTTAAAAATGCATAGGCATCAAACAAATCGTCTAATAAATATTAATGTAGTACGTAAATGAAACCAACCGATCATACACTGTATGTAATAATAAGTAATTTCATTCATTTCTAAAATTGTTTTAGAAGTTAATATTATTTAAAATTTACAAAATATTTTACTAACTATATTTTATACAATGGTTTCAATGATTTTATAGATGATAAAATTTAAATGTAACTCCTTAAATGGATTTGTAATTATGTTTCTATTGTTGATAATTTGATGCTTCTTCGATGTGTATTTTTCTTTTCAAATATTATTTCTTAATGCGTTGATGGTTTTATGATTTACAGTTTTAATAATCATCACTTTGATGTATTTACTATTTATTACATAACATGATTTCAAGTATAAATATTTTATATTGAATTCTTATGTTTCATATTACATAACTTCATTGTGTTTTGATTTTTTATTTTATTACAATTTACAACATTCATTGAGAGTAATGTCTTTCTGCCAATTATATTTAAACAAATATGACAAAAAAAAATCAAAGATGGTTAATATATTCAAAGTCAAGTTTAAACTTTCTCGAACGATAATTTCCGGGAAAGTCCTGGGAAATTTACTTTAATTTTGATGGACAGAAATATAATCATCATAAGTTAGATTTGAATAAAAATAAAATATTTATAATTATAATATTTAATTATGTACGATTATATAAAATGTTGTTAATGAAATAATTCTTACAATCATCATTCTGTAATGCATGGTTTTATCGATATGTATAAGAACTGATATATAGGAGGTTTCTATATCCTTAAATTTGTCATTCAGTAATGCAGCTGTAATGATTTGGTTAAAGAAATATGAAAAGTGCAGGTAAGTTGTGTTATGCAATAATCTGTTTGCGTTTGCAAATCCTTTGTATAGCATGTTTTTCGTGTGTTCAGATTGGTGTGAACTTGTTAGGTGATGTGTAACCGCTGAAGGTGCGAGCGAAGCGTTCTTGAGAGCAGTTGCTCTTTGGTGTGTCTTTAATAAGGCCCCATGGTGATCCTCGAGATGTTTGAAAACACACATCTGGATAGCGGCGTATTCCGGAACACGTTCATTACTTACTCATTATTTCTTTATCCCGACACATTTATTCTTTTCATTTATATTCTTCACTCTGTTGATATATATTTGCTGTTGGTGTTTCTGTTACCCCCACGAAGCGTAAATAATTCAGATGCTCCAGAGTGTGTTGCTACTATTATTATTCGGTTAATGTGATTTTTATTTGGTCCGATGCGTTTCTATGGCTCCAACAATTGTAATAGTATTTATTGGACTGTGTGTAAATGACTAAATAATTGCAATACTAAATACCGTGGATAACATTGAATGCCTGAAGCCCCCCACTGGGCCACTGGTTCTCCCCCCGCGGTGTCTTACTTACACTCCGCCTAACCATTTATGCCCATTGTGGGAGAAAGCCCCGGGTAAAAGAGGATATGGTAATAGTTGTGAATATGCGTACTTCGATGGGTGCGAGAGAGAGAGATTGAGAGAGGGGTATGGTGGAGAGGAAGAGTTTTCCTTCCGACCCAACAGCTTTGGACTTATCAACACCTTCTCACAAAGCCGTCCCACTCTTACAATTCATATTCTCTTTTTTTTTATTATTGTTTCGCACTACCAAAAAAATACTAATACCAATATAATAATAAATACACATTGTATTCACCCTAGGCTGTTGCACCCCAACAGTCGTATTATTACGATCACAATTTGTAATTCATTTGACTTCCACACATTAACGCGGTCCACTTCTGGGGTCTCCCCGGTTCGCAACAAACAAATGCATCTCTACCACAACTTAATCTCATTTGAACTTCGAGTTTTCAAAACTGTTCTATACAAATTTTAAATAAACTTCAATATAATAACGATAATACACTTACGTTCTTTATTATTTACTTATAATTTTGTAAATGACAAAAACACTTCATTATGTATTAAATTGTCATATATAAAGTAGTAATATCATTATTTATTTTACAATTACAAGATTTTCGAGACTTTTTATCTATTTCAAGTAAAAATTAAGTTTTTCAGTAATAATCAGTACTTTTGAAGATTAATTTCATTGTTGAATTGCGGAACACCAGTGAAAATTTCAGGATTTACGAAGTGTTCCGTTGCAGGAAAATTTTTGTAAATATGCAATACATGTTATTATTAATAATATTAATTTATAAATATACTCAAATTTGTTACAGTGCATACAAACATAATAAAATCTAAAATCAATTCGAAAAACTATTAAAAAATAACAATTATTAGTTTTTAATTCTTTGAGAAATTCGCAACAAATTTATAGACAAATGAAAGGATAATTCCTCTTTCCTGGATATTTCTTAGAAAATTACTATAATTCCCCACTAGGCATGTTGAAAAGGTGGGACAATGCGTATCCCTCCGCCCCAAAAATTTTTGCTAATTTGTTGCGAGCAATTTTTTATCATTCATGAAAATAATACTGAAAAAGTATATAAATTTATAAATTTTAACTTATATTGTAGTTATGTAAAGAATATTTAATTTGACTTATTTTGTGTAAATAATAAATGTCAGGAGCACAGGAAATGACAAGGAGGCGGCGATATTCTGTTTCGCGTAATGGAAATTTTCCGTAAAAATTCCGAACACACGTCTGAATTCAGCTAGATACAAGAGTGACATGAATATGAAAATATGGATGCGAGCCCTAAACTCGAGCAAGATGAACAACAATGATATATATATATACATAATTTTCCATACATTTCGTTGAATGTACCTTTTTCCTATGTCTTTACTCATGCAAAGGAAATGGTATAATTTCGTTATTATTCGGGATGTTTCATTTAGTATCGTGAAAATTCCAACACCACACCCCCCGTAGTCAGCACGTATATACCGCACATCTCTTCTTGTTTTATCTGGGAATACAAATGCCAGCGGGGAAAGAAAATGCAAATACCGAAAAACACAATTCCATTTTCACGCTTTTACATAAATAGCCGACTCCCCGAACGATTTTCAGGCGCCAGGGTTGGACGGGGCTACCGGGCGTCGCCGCAGGACCTTCGGCGTCGGGGAAATCCTTCGCGTCGCGGCCCTGGAAAAATGCAAAGGAACGGCTGCCGAAGTTATTCTGCGGCGTTCGTGTAAATATTCCTGCGTTTCTTTTTCTCCCTATAAATATATATATATATATGACGTGAAAATAAGAGGGAATGGCTGCGGGCGCCTTTTGAAAAAATTCTGCACACAACGCGAAAAATATGTATATTTTCCGAGCGCGTTCGCCCAATCAGACGAGTTGTGAGAAACGAAAGAAAATAGACACACTGGTGATGATAATAATAATAATAACGACGGTGGTGGGAAATACGCAGGGGCGGAATGGAACATTGAGAGAAGGAATGGGGATGATCAAACAAAACCATAAGAAAGGTAACATAAATGAACGTAAAACAACGTTTCCAGAGGATGGAACTGAATCTTCCAAGCGCCGACGGAGAAATACAATTACGTAACGTCGCGTTTTAAATATACGTACGTGAATATTATAGTTTCAAATTTGAGCACTAAATTTTCGTGTTATTTACTAAATGGTTCCATTATACTTGAATCTCAAGTTTAAATGTAATTATTGTTATTCTTACCTCGAATATGGAAGAAATGCTCATTTATTTAAATTATATCAATTAATAATAATTATATAATGAACTTAGGTTGATGGTAGTTTGAAAAGAATTTGAATAATTTAAAAGTGAATTTAGATTTGCTGAAAAGTGTTAAAGTGGTAAAACTTAAATGCTGGGAAAGGGAAATACTTAGAAAAGAGGTAAAACAGAAATGACGTAAAGTGGTGTTCGTAAGCAAACAGTGGATTCGTGTTGATTCTAGCTGATGGAAATGATTGCATACAAGTAGAAATAATATTAAGTTACTGATCCAGCAGACAATGGTGGGTTTCGTCGCTTTTCAATATCACATGTATGTACGTATACATATTTTGAATAATCATTTCGGAGCGGTCCGAAAACCGATGGATTGGTTATTCAACAAACAAACCCTTTGGGCTCAGATTGTCTGCGATAGGTTCGAGTGTCGGATTGCATTATCCGTGGCCCGGCCATCCATCCGGTTAGTTATAACTTACTTTTACCTAATGTTTGCTCAACCACCCGAGATGCACAAAAACCCCATCGACACTTCACACAACAAACAACAACACCCAACAACAATTCCCTTTCACAGCATTCCACCCAGAAATACACAGATATTACTTAAGATAACACCAGCGACGTGGGAAAAACGAACCATCAAAATTGGCATCCGCTTTTGACCAGAAAAGAACCAGAATTCAAGTAAACGTATCCACCCAATTGGAAACAACACAAAAGAAAAAAATCCTTTACGATTTACTAGTAAACAATTTTGATTGAATAACATCTGTTGCTTGTTATAATCTTCCTGATTGAGACAAAGACAATTATTTGAAATAATGGAACATCATCATATTTTTTATGAATTTTTTTTTTTATAATTATAAACATAGCATCGCGTGGATTAGTGAAATTAAACAGTAAAATAACATATTCCGGCCACGTTTTGGCTTGGCATTACTGATGGAATGAATTGTGATGGGTAACAAAGAGGTGTACGAGGGAGTTTGGGGCTGGTGGCAGGAGCGAAACGAAAATTGTAAAACAAAAAGGCAGAAGTAGAAAAGGGGGACAACGAAGGATGTGTGGTTTGGTTGGTTGAAGGGTGGACGGAGAGTATTTACATATGAGATACATAAAACATGAAGGTGTGTGGAAAACAGGCAGCCGGCATTTTGTAAATATTGGTCTTGCACCTTCTTCTTCTTCTTCTTTTTCTTCTTCGGACTACGATCTTCTGGCTCGGTCCTTCTTGGGTTCCCTTACAGCAAACACTCGTCTCGAGATGAATCGTCCGTCCGGGCCATTAGCTGTTTCATATAATACTTCACATTGTAATACACTCCGTGCACGTGGTTCAGCCATATACGTTCCCTCAAAATGGATAAATATTGATTTTAAAATAGTTACACCCACTGGGAACACCATTGTTTTCGCCTTGAAACGAAGAAATAAATTCGTGCATAAGGTAAACAGTAGTTACTTTATTCACATTATAAGTATAAACAAAGATAAAAAAAATATAATTACTAAAACAAATCACTATTTCATATATGTCCCTAAATAACAACATTTTATGACTTCAGTTTAATTTCAAATTTGTTTTATTGTCTTTCTGATTTACTTTCATTTAGTTGTTTATTAAATTTTCGAGTCGAAATATCTGCTCTTTCAGCTTATAAATTTATAGATTCGATGAAATTTGTACTATTCCTACGAATAACAAACTGAAAATTCTAATACAAAATTGTGTTAATTTTGTACTAAAATCTATCCATCGTTAAATAAGAATGTTTATTAATTATTTTTATTAATTTATGATTATAGTTGCAAGTTTTTGTAATTTTATTTACTAAAATAAGTATCTGCAATTATACTGTGAATATGCAATCAACTGTAGAATATGTAATATGCGTAAACGTTAAAAAAGATGTAATATTTATCGGCAGTGCTAGTAATTAGTAAAAGGACTGATCGTGACGAAGAGCGTTGAATGGCGTTTCAATATTAATTGAGAGGAATTACATGTGAATGCGAAGATCTCGGGTATAATACAATGGGAGTTGTCTCGAGAACGAGGACAAAAGGAAAAATGGTGCTTTGTTTGGCATTGATACCTTAATATTTAGTTGATCGCGATGGTATCGTTAAAAGTGAGTGCTCTTTTAAATCAACACTAAGTAGCAGAAATTTGGAGCGCTTTGTCGGCATCGGGGCTATATTATATCCAGCTCTAAGAAACCTTATACACACTTATAAAACTGTACACACATGCATGTGTATACATATATACCTGAATGCATGCAAACGCATTCATTCTTCTGTCAGCCGCGTGTATTCTTTTCGAACGTAGGATGGGATGACTCCGCGCTTTCGCCTGATATCTATCTGACATAATGACAGACCTTTTGTGAATGTTTATAAGGATTACTATTGCCTAAAACAATATCAAAACATAGATTTGACAGGCATCTGTGTGTATATGTTATGGCAAAATTGGTTTGTCATATCAGACTCAACAGAAAATGGTTTGTTCGAATATTGTTATTGTTACGGTCCCTTTCATCAATATCTTACAATGTGCGTGTTTTCAATGTGACGCATTCCTCAGGCCGAACCTTCAGATTTAAAGTAATAATGATCGCATCAAATTAACACGCAAACGATCTTCAACCACAATGGCAAATAAAACGAAAATTGAACGCGTATTATACTAATTTTATTAGTATCAAAACACTAATATTAAAACATATATAAATAAAATGTAGATATATTATCTAACTAGAAAACAAGAATAAATATATCTTAATTTTAAATATCAGTCTCTTTCTCACTTGTACATTGAATGCATTCAAAATAACATCTTTAAAAATATTAAACAGTACAACATTTTGTAATAAAATTTTGTTAGAAAATTGGATTCATTTACTTTCCAACACAAAACTTTTCAAATATACTATCTAGGTGTTTTTCTCTAGCTGTTTTTCCAGCTAACAATTCTAAATGTTTAATGACTCGATCCAAAGCAGTCACGGCGATGGCCGAATCAAGGGAATCTTTTTTAATAGAGCTCAATTCGGAAATGCATTTTAGCAAATACTCCTTGTGGCGCATACTACTAAAAGAGACGACGCCGTCGTCTGGTTCGAACCTGAACAACAAAAAAAAACACAATTAGATCGATTTCAAAATGGATAATCCACTTCCACTCACTCTGCATATAAAGTCCTCATTAAATATGTATAAAACTTAGTAAAACCATAATTCGTCTTACAGGAAAAACAAATAACGGATTCAGTTAGCGATTTCTCTACATTTCCATCAATGTCATTAATTAAGTCATATTTATTCATAATAACAATAGTAGGAGATTTGAAGAAATTCAGAAAATCCCTCGTATCGTTGTGTAGATGTGTTAAACCCATTTCATTCATGTAGTCTTTCAAAAATCCAATTATGGTGTTGTCACCTCCTACACTTATATACCTCAAAAGGTCAGCACTTGAGCATACTAGCACATTGATTTTGGTCGTTTGATCTTCCAGAGCTTCTACTGCTTTAAATATACCTTGGCCCTCGATGAAATCTTGAGTTTCAATCCGTATACCAGCAGAATCCACAAATCGAACCTGCAATTCAATCAAGCTCGAATTGGAAAGTAGTATTCATAAATTTAGGATTTCATACTTTATAACCAGACACGTGTGTGACACTTTCCACCATATCCCTTGTCGTTCCCGGAATATTTGTAACAATTGAGTCAGAATCAGCTGAAAAGTACATAATCATGTGATTATTTCTTTAGTTGGTTAACATCGCCTTACATAACATATTAAATACGCTGGTTTTGCCAACGTTTGGTGCTCCGTAAATAAAAACTCTAATCCCGTCTTTTATGTTCCTCGCCAATTCTAATTTGTCCAATTCATTTTTCATCTCGTTTTGAACACCTAGTAGTTTAGCATAGAATTGATCAATATTAAAATTGATCTCATCTGTATCCCCAAAATCAGTATCAGCCATTAGATCAACCTGCAGAGTAATTATCCTATTTTCCCAATCATGAATCATTTCTGATGCACCTCCATTCATTTGGTGCAGTGCCTGAAAATAAGATTAAAAAAAAAACAAATTAATTATATTTGCAAAAGCATATACACATTGTACGTACAATCTTTCTTTGTGTTTCAGTTTCAGAGTCTAACAAATCAGCTAATCCTTCAACCTGGGTCAAGTCCATTTTTCCATTATAAAATGATCTCTTGGTGAACTCTCCAGGTTCTGCTAATCGGATATGTTCCATTCTGATAAGATTATCAAGAATAGACTTGGTGACCGCTTTACTTCCATGTGTTTGCAGCTCCACAGTATCCTCACCAGTAAAGCTATTTGGCTTAGGGAAATATAATACAAGCCCGCTATCAATGTGTTCACCAGTGAACGGGTTGTAGATTTTAGAGAAAGTGGCAAATCGTGGTTTTGGCAGAACTTGTGGTTTAATCATGCGAAGTAATGCAACTTTGGCATGTTCACCAGACAGTCTAATTACTGCTACTCCACTTTTACCTTCCACTATAAATAATTAAATGTAATATTAAATGGTATTAGATATACAAGTATGTTTATGAACCTAGTAACGTAGCCTGGAGTTTAGAAATACACAGTAATATCAGTATATGTGATGAAGATAATCAAAAGCTCAGAAGAAAAATGTTCTTACCTGTAGCTTGTCCACATATTGTGTCTGGAACACCTCTAATGACTTCTTTATCTTCTTTATTACCAAGATTAGGTGAAAAATAAGTGTCCTCAGACATTGTTGCGAAATTCAACCCCCGCAGTCGCGGTTGCAATAACCGCACGAAACATTTGCTGCAGTTCATAAACATAGTTGATACCATTGAAACGTAATTCAAACGAATTCGAATATTTAGAAATTTGAAACCGCTGCATGTGCTACCACTCAGCTGATACTCTGCTACTATTGATCCAATTGCACATGGCATTGGATGCGCAGCGCACGTATTCTATAAATTCCTTCCAAATATCTATTATAACTTACAAAAAACTATAAAAATCCATAAAATTTTCAGTTATAATTTTGAATTTGCCGGAAGATATCTTTTATTACTGAATTGGTAAATGTTTACCCTTGCGTGATTGGTAAAAAAAAAACACTTAAACAACAAATATACTAAAACTATGATCAAATAATAGTTACCAATATTATAAGAAACTATTGCATATGTAACAAAAGTAATAAATATCAAATTTACATTATTTTATAAATGTCTATTGAGTTGCCTATAGTTAAAATATTTTAATTTGTCATTTTTTATTGTAATTCAATATAATTATACAATTTTTGTGATCAAATATAATATAAATCAGTGATTCACAAAGGTGAAGGTGCAAATTGAAAAGAATAGTTAAATAAATGGTTATATTCATATATATATATATGAAACTTTTAATTTACTGTGCTAATCTAATAAATCTTTCGCTTTCGTTTGTTATAAAATAAATTAGTTTTGATCAATTAATAAGAAAGATATTATGCTTTAATAAGTTGGCGGTTTTCGCGAATCAAAAAAAATTGAAGGAATAATCAATATACAGTCTGCAACCGCACATACCTGTTACAGACTATTTCCTGCAAATTCCGACAGATGTCATACGCAATTATGAAATGCAACAAAAATTTGATGGTTTTCGAGTTATTAACGAAAATCGATTTTTAAGTAAATCCTATTCACGTCAGCAGGCGACTTGAAGACAGTACGAAGATGTAGGTTGGCTCGTTAGAAAAAAAGCTTTCATACGAGTGGTAGATGATGTAACTATCTTAAGGATTT